CCCCCCCCCGAAGCGGCGGTGAGGCCGGGTGCAGAGCGTTCCCTGCTCTGTTACTATTTTTTTTACAGGTTTCAGATTTTTGTGCACACCTGGGGACTGCCCCAAGTGTGCACAAACATCTCCCTCCCCCCAGGTGCCCCCGATGTGCGGAAATAAGTATCTGCACGCAGGGGGCGACTTCGGTATTAGATATATAGATATAATATAAAGTTAATCTGATACATCCACCCACTTTTTGGGGATGCCAGTGTGGGTATCAGCCCCAGCATGAACAGTTCCTTTGTGCCTATTGCAAACATCAAATATCTATCTCGTTCATTCAGGAAGCTCAGAGTGGCATACATCGTTCTCCACTGCCCCGTTGACTCCCACAACAACCCTAGGAAGTCGACTAAACTGGGAGAGAGAACTGTTGAACATCACCTAGGAGACTTCATGGTTGAATGGAGATTTAAATTTGGGGTCAGCCAGTTTGGTGTAGCGGTTAAGGACTCTAATCTGGGAGAACCGGGTTTGATTCCCCACTCCCCCACTTGCACCTGGCTGGATGACCTTGGGCAAGCCATAGTTCTGATAAGAGCTGTTCTTGAAAAAGAGCAGTTTCTGTCAAGAGCTCTCTCAGCCCCACCTACCTCACAGGGTGTCTGTTGTGCAGAGGGGAAGGGAAAAGGAGTTTGTAAACCACTCTGAGACACCTTTGGGTAGTGAAGGGCGGGGTATAAATCCAATCTCTTCTTCTCTTCTTCTTCTTCCTCTAACCACTACACAACACCATCTCTCCCTGGGATCTCTTGGTGCCTTCCGCCAACTCTCTCTCTCCATCTAATTGTCTCCGCAGTCAATAGGAAAAACAATGATCTAGAAGAAAGTAATTGACTAGTGGTAAAATTACTGGAGGACAGCTAGAGTAATTGATTCTTTCTGACTCAATTAGAATGTTTCTTCTTCTAGTCAGAAGCTGTAAGTTCACTTCTGGCCTGTTTCTCTGTTCAACGATTGTCCTCTGAACAAATTCCAGCATCACATTTGGGGCTTCTAGGATCATTTTGCGGTGGACTTACCAGTAAGTCTGATCGGAATCCTTGTGGCAACTCCA